TGTAATTTAAGTTTATAACATCTCAAATATTTCCTTTTCTTTTTGCAATATATAGGTGTCTTTGATGTTAAATATATGTATACACATACATATTTGTGCATGTATGCATGTGTATATACATATTATATCTGTGTGCATAAGTGTATATGCATGTGTATATCTTTATATACATACTAGAGGCCCAGTGCACAAAATTCATGCATTGGGGGGGGGGTTCCCCTCAGCCCAGTCTGCACCCTCTCCAATCCGGGACCCCTTGGGGGACATCCCTCTCACAATCTGGGACTGCTGGCTCCTAACTGCTCACCTGCCTGCCTGCCTGCCTGATCGCCCCTAACTGCCCCCCCCCCCACACCAGCCTGATCACCCCTAACCTCCTTTGCCTGCCGGACTGGTCACCCCCACCCCCCCACTGGCCTGGTCGCCCCTAACTGCCCCCCCACCAGCATGGTCACCCCATACTGCCTCTCCTGCAGGCCTGGTCACCCCTCACTGCATCCCTTCTGCTGTCCTGGTCACCCCAACTGCCCCCCTACTGCTCTGGTCGCCCCCAACTGCCCCCCCTGCTGGCCTGGTTGCCCCTCATGACCTCCCCTGCCAGCCTGGTTGCCCCACATGGCCTGCTGTTTAGTCATTTGGTCACCCCTCACTGCCCCCCCCCCGCTGGCCTGGTCACCCCCTGCAGCCTTCTGTTCAGTTGTTTGGTCGTCCCTCGCTGTTCCCCCTACCCCCGCTGGCTTGTTCACTCCACATGGCCTGCTGCTCAGACATTTGGCTGTCCCTCACTAATGCCCCTGCTGGCCTGTTGCCCTACTCAGCCTGTTCGGTCGCCCATTCAGTCGTGATGGCCCCTGGCTCTTTATATATATATACTAGAGGCCCGGTGCACAAAAATTTGTGCACTGGCGGGGGGGTGTCCCTCAGCCCCACTTGTGCCCTCTCGCAGTCTGGGACCCCTCGGGAGATAACGTCCTGCTGGTTTAGGCCTGCTCCCGGGTGGCAGAGGGCAGGCCCAATCCCTAGGTGCCTGCCCTGCAGCTCCTTCCTGGTCTGGCTCAGAGCAGGGCCGATTGGGGAGTTTGGGTGCCTCCCCCTGTCATGCACAGAGCAGGGCGGATCGGGAGGTTGCGATGCCACCCTCAGTCACGCTCAGGTTAGGGCCGATTGGGGGGTTGGGGCACCGTCCCCTGTCACACTCAAGGCAGGATTGATGGGGAGGTTGCGGTGCCACCCCCTGTCATGCACAGAGCAGGGCGGATCAGGGGGTTGGGGTGCTGCCCCCTGTCACATACAGAGCCGGCCGATCAGGGGGTTGGGGCGCTGCCCCCTATCACGCACAGAGCAGGGCCCATCAGGGAGGTTGGGGCTCCGTACCCTGTCACACACAGAGCAGGGCCAATCAGGGGGTTGGGGAGCTCCCCCCTGTCATGCACAGAGCAGGGCCGATCAGGGGGTTGGGGAGCTCTCCCCTGTCACGTACTGAGCAGGGCCGATCAGGGGGTTGGGGAGCTCCCCCCTGTCATGCCCAGAGCAGGGCCAATCAGGAGGTTGTGATGCCACCCTCAGTCACAGTCACGCTCAGGGTAGGGTCGATGGGGAGGTTGGGGCGCCGCCCCCTGTCACCTACAGAGCAGGGCCCATGGGGGGGTTGGGGCGCCACACCCTGTCACACACACAGCAGGGCCAATCAGGGCTGGGGAGCTCTCCCCTATCAGGCACAGAGCATGGCCGATCAGGGAGTTGGGGTGCCTTCCCCTGTCATGAACAGAGCAGGGTGGATAGGGAGGTTGTGGCCCCGCCCCCTGTCACACACAGAGCCGCAGGACAATCAGGGGATTTGGGCGTTGCCCCCTGTCATGCTGCTCTAGGGGCCAGGAGGCCTCGCTGCTCCACTGATCCTGGTGCTAGGAGGCATATTACCCTTTTACTATATAGGATAGAGGCCTGGTGCACGGGTGGGGGCCAGCTGGTTTTCCCTGAAGGGTGTCCTGGATCAGGGTAGGGGTCCAAACTGGGGTGCCTGGCCAGTCTGGGTGAGGAGATGATGGCTGTTTGCAGCTGGTCATACACCCTTCAGGGTGGGGGTCCCCACTGGGGTGCCTGGCCAGCCTGGGTGAGGGGCTGAGGGCTGTTTTCAGGCTGGCGGGTGACTGAAGCTCCCAACCGCTCCTTTTTTCCTTTTTTTATTTTTATTCTTGGATTTATGGCTGCCACTGGAGCTGAGAGCCGGCTTTAGCTGTGAGACCTCTCTGCTGAAAGCAGGTTTCTGGCTTTGTTTACCTTCTGTATTTGAAATTTTGTTGCAACTCCAGCTCTGAGATCCCGGCCGGCTGAAAGCAGGTTTCTGGGGTTTTGTTTAGCTTCTATATTTGTAACAATGTTTCTTAGCAGCTCAGAGCCCAGCAGCAGCAGGCAGGGAAGGTTGGCTTCCTCCGTCACTGGAGCAAGCAAGTCTCATGTTCGTGTCAGTAGCCTGGCTGCCGGCCGCCATCTTGGCTGGCAGTTAATTTGCATATCACCCTGTTTAGCCAATGGGAAGGGTAGCGGAGGTATGGCTAATTACCATGTTTCTCTTTTATTAGATAGGACTAGTGGCCCAGTGCACAAAATTCCCTCAGCCTGGCCTGTACCCTCTCCAAACTGGGACCCTTGAAGGATGTCCTACTGCTGGTTTATAGGGATCGGGCCTAAACCGGCAGTCAGACATCCCTCTCACAATCCGGGACTGCTGGCTCCTAACCACTCACCTGCCTGCCTGCCTGCCTGATTGCCCCTAACCACTCTGCCTATAGGCCTGCTCGCACCCAACTGCCCCAAGCTGCCAGCCTGCTTTCCCCCAAATGACCCCCGCCAGCCTGATCACCCCCAACTGCCCCCCATGCCAGTGTGCTTGCCCCCAACTGCCCCCTCCTGCCAGCATGCTCACCCCACTGCCCCCCCTCCAGGCCTGCTCACCCCCAACTGCCACCACCTGCTGGCCTGCTTGCCCCCAGCTGCCCCCCTGCTGGTCTGCTCACTCCAAATTGCCCTCCCCTGCTTTCCTGATCACCTCCAACTGACCCCCACTGATGGCCTGCTCTCCCCCAACTGGCCCCCCTGCTGGTTTGCTTACCCCCAATGGTCCTGCCCCCCATCAGCCTGATCACCCACAACTGCCCTCGCATCTTGGCCTCTAACTGCTTCTACCTCAGCCCCGCCACCATGGCTTTGTCCAAAAGAACATCCAGAAGGTCTTCTAGAAGGTCTCCCAGTCTAATTAGCATATTACCCTTTTATTAGTATAGATAGAGGCCTGGTGCACGGGAGGGGGCTGGCTGGTTTTCCCTGAGGGTGTCCTGGATCAGGGTGGGGGTCCCACTGGGGTGCCTGGCCAGCCTGGGTGAGGGGCTGATGGCTGTTTGCAGGCTGGCCAAGCCCCCAGTGGGGACCCTCACCCCATGTGGGTGTGGGCAGCCTGGGTGAGGGGCTGAGGGCTGTTTTCAGGCTGGCCACACCCCCTTCAGGCTGGGGGGCCCCACTGGGGTGCCTGGCAAGCCTGGGTGAGTGGCTGATGGCTTTTTGCAGGCAGACCAAGCCCCCCAGCGGGGACCCTCACCCCATGTGGGTGTGGCCAGCCTGGGTGTGGGGCTGAGGGCCGTTTTCAGGCCGTCTACAGCCCCTCCAGGGTGAGGAGATCCCGCTGGGGTGCCTGGCCAACCTGGGTGAGCGGCTGATGGCCATTTTCAGACTGGCCACGCCCCCTGATGGCCCAAGCTCCCAGCCTCTTCTTTTTTTCTTTTTTTCAGCCCCTCCTTGAGTGGAGGCCAGGGCAGGCTAGAAGCAGGTATCAGGGATTTATTTATCTTCTATAATTGAAACTTTGTAGCCTTGAGCAGAGCCCTGGTCAGGCCAGGGCAAGCGGGAAGCTTGGCTTCCTCCATCACCGGAGGCAACCCAAGCCTCCTGCTCACTCCAGCTCCATGGGCGGCACCATCTTAGTTGGGTTAATTTGCATACTCACTCCTGATTGGCTGGTGGGCGTGGCTTGTGGGTGTAGTGGAGTGGCGGAGTGATGGTTAATTGAATGTTTCTCTTTTATTAGTGTAGATATATATTTATATGTATGTGTGTGTGTGTGTGTGTGTGTGTGTGTGTATATATATATATATATATATATATATATATATATATACACACACACGTAGTTTAATTACCTTTAACATTTTCTAATAACATACTTTTTAAAAGCATATGGATTAAAGTTTGATTTTAGTACAAGATTGCTGGATCCATCCATCTATACTTTTCTTATGCCAGTGGAGATTATTAGAGTGAGTAAGTAACAAAAGTTTTAAATTATCCATGATTTATTAATTCAGTCATGAATTGTATAAGTGGTTGTCAGGTGGCAAAGGTCAAAACAAGAAATGATCAGCTGTCAGAATTTACCAAGAAGTTTTTCAAGGCACTATTTTTCATTCCTATCTCCTATTTCCTGCCTTATATGCATATATTTTATTTCCCCTATCCAGAAATCTGCTACTGTAAAAGTTGACATTTATTAAATATTTATAGTGTGCTAAGGATGTGCTTTCTGTGGCTTTTTACAGGTAGTATTTTGTACAACTCTAGGAGATGGTCTACACTATTATCCCCTTTTTACAGATGGACAGTTAGGCACAGAGAATTAGTTTTTTTCCAAGGATGTAAAGCTAATAAGTGGTAGAGCCAGGACTTGAACTCAGGCAGTTTAACTTTGGAAACCTGTTCTAAGGACCACACTACTCATAGAGGGGATGGGGAAGAAAGCTCATGGAGAGAAGGAGAGAGAGGGAAGAATGTTGAGAGTATTCTGAAAGGGCTCATCTGCCAGTTCTATGTCCCTTCTCCACTGAGTGCAGCAGCTGAACCCTGATTAGACTGTATTTCTCTTAGACAATTTCTTTTTCATTTGAAACTTTGACAGGAATATATTATTTGGAGATATGAATCAAAGTGATTTTCTCTTTTTTTATCTTCAGGATTCCATATTCAGGAAGGCCCTTTGGTATCTTGCGAAAATAAATACTGTGGTTTGGGAAGGCACTGTGTTATCAGCAGAGAGACAGGACAAGCAGAATGTGCCTGCATGAACCTTTGCAAACGGCACTACAAACCTGTGTGTGGATCTGATGGAGAATTCTATGCAAACCACTGTGAAGTGCACAGAGCTGCTTGCCTGAAGAAACAAAAGATCACCATTGTTCACAATGAAGACTGCTTCTTCAAAGGTAAATCCAGGTGAACCTGAATTGTCACCCTCCTCTCTTTTTTTCTCTTCTCTCAACTAGTGCCTTTAAGTTTAAACTAACACAATTTTATATCAGCAAATGTCTGAAAAGAGAAAGAAAAAAGACATGTGAGCTTAGTTACATCAGTAAGCAGCAAGTGAATAGAAATTTACAAGGATACAATTCTGAATCTCAGTTATTACAACAAAGCTGGCCAAAATATGACTCAAAATTTAATATAGCTTACAGCATTGCACCATATGGCTTCCCAATCATGCAGTTATCTTAGAGACACAGGGTGGCTGGCCAATTCAGTCAATAGGCCAAATCCAGCCGGTGAGAAGCACCTGGAGTGGAACTGAGGGAATAGTGAACGCCAAGTCACGCTGTGATAACATCTCATTTCCCCCTGATTAAAAAGGATGCTTTCATTTGTACTACATAATTCAAATGGTATTGAACCCAAAGATGTCTACTGATATAATTGGGAAGAACTCATGCTAAACTTATTTAGTAAATCTGAGATGGCCATAATTTAAAATTTTAGTGTTGGTATTTGTTTTCATGGTAGGTACTGCTGAATTAGTAATATGACAATTATTTTAACATGCTATAGAAATAAATCATTGAACATTTTAAAATGAGTTATTTACTTGTAAACTTACCTGTTATTTGATTTATTGTTTTTGTACTGGAGAAATTATTTGTTTATAGTCATAAGACAGACTAAAATTCTAAGGTCTTAAATATATTATTTATTTAAAGGATTAATGTATTATTTAAATACTAGAGGCCTGGTGCATGAAAATTCATGCACTGGGCGGGGGGTGGGGCCCTCAGCCCACCTTGCACCCTCTCGCAGTCCAGGACCCCTCAGGGGATGTCCACCTGCCGGCTTAGGCCTGCTCCCCAGGGGATCGGGCCTAAGCTGCAGTCAGACATCCTTAGCACTGTCAAGGAAGTGAGAGAGGCTCCTGCCACCGCCGCTGCACTTGCAGCCTTCAGCCCGACTTGTGGATGAGCGGAGCTCCCCCTGTGGGAGTGCACTGACCACCAGGGGCAGCTCCTGCATTGAGCATCTGCCCCCTGGTGGTCAGTGTGGGTCATAGTGACCGGTCATTCCTGCTGCTAGGGTCCCTTTGCATATTACCCTTTTATTACATAGGATATATAAACCTTTATTATTTGAATAGACTGGTGATCAGTCTGATTATGAATCTTTGGTTCCATGTCCCAGTTTCCCAGAATATCCCTGAACTATATTTACACTTACAAACTTGTTGGATATTTTAATTTTGGTTTACATTCATGTTTCAAATATGTTATTACACTTTCTTTGCTCACCAATTATGGTAAAATGACTGTTAAAACTTGTCCTTTTTTAATCTTGGTAGGACACATAAAGTATTATTTCCCAGGTGATGAGAAAAATTATACGTAGCTTTTAAATGATACAAATGAAATGCTTTATAGTGATTGTGGCTACTAGCAGCCCTCTGATATAAATGAAGAAAAAAGAATAGTCTCCTTACCAGTATGACCTGTATGCACCTTTACTACATGTTCTGAGAATTTTATGATATTAGATTTTCTTCCTTGACAGAAAAAAGAGCAGCTACTTTGGTTTTAAGTTCAATTTATTCCCCTCTTCTATCAAATCTGTTTTACAAATAACTAAAATTGATTCCATTAACATTCTGCTTTAAAGCTCATAAAAGAGTATTTTTTCTGTAATTTGGACCTGAGATGATACAGTGAGAATTTTTCTATTCCACTGATGCATAATATCATAAAACTATGTAAATATATGCTATTAAGTTAATTTAGAGTCATATTCTCCAGCTGAGGTTTTGTCCAGCCGACACTAAAGAATTGATTATGGAAATATATGGTATTAAGTATTATGTGGGGAAAAACCTGGCGTATTTAATGTTCTGCTTTATTTCTGGATGTTTAGGCATAATGCAACTCACATGTAAATCAGCATGGAGGTACATGAACTAGATACAGCTGAAAATGTTGCCTTCCTTATGACTTTATAGACAATAGTTTTAAGAACTTTGGTCCTTCACATGTATACTAAGCATAGTTATAAAATTTATGATTGCTTCAAAATACGTTCTCATTATATATAGTATTAAAATTTCTTTTATTTTGGGGAGGTTAGTTGGCACATTTCCCAGGTCACAGAATTTGTCATCTGCTGTTTATTGGTTTTGATGTTTTGCCTAACATATCATTCATAAAAGGGCTTAATTTCAGCAGAACATAAGTAAATAATATAGAAGAAACAATAAATTCCCTGTCTTTGTAGTGTACAATTGGCCTAGTTTTGGACGTAAAGAAGATTCTGTATAGCTGAAGGCCTGACATTGTTGTGATGGCTAAAATGAATTCTTGTGACTGTGAATAATATTTTCTGTGGAATTTCAGTTATTTATAGATTTTAATGATGGTATAAATGAAGAAGCAAATCAAGTTTTGGTTGGAATAAGCAACAGCCATTTGTTTAGGAATTATTTTGGGGGGATTTCGCACTATAAAAGAAGAGTTGTGTAGTTGCAACAGCAAGAGTATGGCCAGCAAAGCCTAAAAAATGTTTCATCTGGATCTTTTCAGATAAAGTTTATTAACTTCTGTTTTAAAAGATTACAAGTGCCTTAAAATTAATTTTTAAAAATGTTTGCAGATCTCTACTATTCTGTATCTTGTTGGCTATGGAGGGCAAGCACACATGGACAAATTGAGTAGAACACAAAAATGGATACAAGTAAAACAAGAAATCTGTGCAAGATTAATAGATAGTATCATAGTTGCTATCCTGTTTAGGATGTACTATGCAAGGGTAGGCAAAAGTATGTTTACAGCTGTGAGTACACGAATCAAAGTTTATTTTTGTATTATCATTTATTAATTGTATTTTTTGCATACAAACAACTGTTGACCCACTTTTGCTCAACCCTATCGTTTTTCAAAATGTTACCCGTGGTAGAAACTAGGTGGAGGTACATGGACTCTCTCTGTGTTATTTCTTACAACAGCATATGACTCAATGGTTATCTCAGAATAATGGTATTTAATAAAAAAAATGTGCTGGAAAAATATTAGCAGATACTTAAAACAATTTTAAAGAAAGTAGAATTTGCATTATTTATTAAATATTTGAACGTTAACGTAAGTCTTAATTGTTTCACATATTGAATTTATCACATTTATGTTTGGTACTTATATTTTAAATATTTAAATATATTATATTTATGAAATCATATATATTAATTCATTGTTTTAAAATTAAGATTAGAATATGGGTAAATATAAATGTATATTTACATATGTATATATGTGTTTATATCTATATGTATACTTGTATCTATAACTATATCTATATATCCTCTTACTATTATTTGTGTTACATATTTAAATGCTTCTGTACTATGCTCAGCATTTACGATTACTGTAAAATAGAGACATGAATTCACTAAGAATTATCTGTATGATTAAAGATTTGTGGAACTCTAGAGAAAACATAATACCTCTCCGAACATAACATTTTTCTAATTTAGTTCTATTCACATTTATTTGATTATAAAGAAACTGACTATAATGAGATTAGAATATTGTAATATTTTTTTATTGGCATGAAATAGTTTATACTGATGCTTAACATAGCATACAACTTTCTACTTTTACATGATGTCTAGCTATTACTTATAGTGATAATTTTGCTTTAATGACATTTCCTATTCTCACCCCTACTCCCAAAGGGCACTCTAATTGCTAAAATCCCACATCACTTGTAACAGGTACAGTTTCCTCTCTCTTTGACACAGGTCAGTCTGTCATACACAGCAGAATTTAGTTACTCGGGATACAGATATAAGCTGGAATAGGAAAGTCAAGATTTAACCCGTGCCAAATGGGGAATTAAACCTTTTATGAGAAAGTCAATTGAACAAAAACTCTTTTGCCATTTACTATGTTGAGAATAAAACTGCCATAAAAGCAAATGTTCTGTGCACTTAAATGTGCATCACAAACAATAACAACAATAACAACTTGGGAAATATGGTTTTTATGGCTATATGTGTGCTCTTTGAATGAGATCTGACATTGTGTTCTTTTTCTTTGGTATAATTTGGATAGACATTCATATTTCATTTTTTAAAATTGGTTCTTTTACCAGAACTTTTTTTTTTTATGAAGGGGATTGTAGAATGTAGGCTTAAAAACTAGGCTGCCAATAATGTTTTAAAATGTATCAATAAATGTAATGTGCTCATCCACATTTACTTTTAGATTGCTTTTTTAAAAGGGTACCTTTATAAAGCTTTGATTTTATGTGCAAACAATCTTTTATATCATTTCATAAAATATTATAATCTTCAAAAATATATAAACTTTCTCTTTATTTATTTGAATCATAAAATATTATTTCATTTAGTATCTAAATATGATACCTATTAGGTCTACAACAGTGTTATTCTACACCCCCCTCTCCCCTAGCAAAACACAACTTCACTAGTATTGACTGAGTTGGTGCTTTGTACATAATTTTTGTCAAATTTTCCCATTTATAATATATAGGAAATACATTTAACTTTCAAATACATAGTCTTATCTTGTTTTTGTACATTTTCATGTTATATCATTTTTCTTCAGGTTCAAATTATAAAAGAAATATTTTTGTTTAATATTTTATTTTATATTTTCTATGGCTATATGAATATTTCAGTAATAGTTATTAAGCACAATATTCAATAGTGACAGAAAAAAATGAGAACATTAGTTCAAATAATTTGTCTTCTATCTTGAAGCTGTTTAAATATTGTATCAGTCATTACCCCTCACTGACACCGTCACTTATCATGTTTATTTTCTCAGTAACCTATTTTCAAATGCTGAATGTGATATTTCTGTAATGTACAAAGTGAAGAACTTTTTAAAAAACTATTATTTTTCAATGTAGTTGACTTCTCCTCTTTGATATATATTAGGGAAAA